TTCTTTCACCACTTCTGGATATATTGCATATAGCCATCCTCCCAATTAAGATCCCAATGCCGCCTTAGGGTTGTTGGTGCTACCTTGCCAATCGTAGATTCACATGCACAGCCTTTTGCAGTATTACCTTCTGTGACCCATGTTACATGCAGTGCCCAATTTTCTCTATGGCTTGGAACTCCTTCCAAGAATTCTTTATCGGCCAAATATGTACTTCACATGGTCTTACCACCACAGGGTTCCGCATTCAAAAGCTTCTGAAAGTTACAGAGATAATTAATTAAATTAATTATTACCAGCTGTAATTGAACCATTGACCTTGTCTATAGAGGATTAGGCACCTAGACCACTAGGCTACAGGACCCTAACCCATTACTTTTTTTTGTGACAGAAATTAGCATATTATAAGTAGGAAGATTATAGTAATAGTTTCTTGTAAAAATTTATTTTTTTAGCTTTGTTCGAAACTTATATATATTATAAAGACCGTAAGTTCTTTTAACTTTACTTGTTTTTGTTAACTTTATATAAAATATATATATAAAGCAAGTTGCTCATCTCAGGTTAAAAATGTGCATTTAGAAGTAAACTTATTTAAAATATATTTATTTTTATTCGCTCTTTTAGTTATTCGTTTTATTACTCAATATCAACTTATTTTGAATATAAAAAATATGGTAAATATATTTATTATATAAAAATTATTATATAAATATATTTTTTCTTATTAAATCTATTTTTAGAACACTAATAAAAGCTGGCCAAAAGAGCTGCTTTTTATGAATAATCAACGTCAAAAGTATTCTCAATGTAATAGAACAGTTTTTGTTTCTAAGGACCCTAAATTTTTATATATATTATCTCAATATAATCAGTTTACAAGTGCGATACAAAAAAAAAATCCTGTATATATGCTATTACAAGTTTTTAATATAGATTCAAATTTGTGAAATAAATCACTAGTTCCTTTAATACCTAGTTATAAGATTTTTATATATTATGGTGGTTGTTTCTGTATAGTAGAACTAGAATGGAGTGAAACTAATCAAATTATATTGTAGATATGGAATGAATTTGGTACTGATAGTACGTTTCAGAATAAATCAAATACTCAACAAACTTTTAAGAGATTAGATAATTTATTATACTATATTGAAAATAATCCATCAATTGTATATAATAGTTGACTTTCAATACCATATTTATTAGGATTAACTTCAACAGAAAATGTTAAATAGTTACGTGGATTTATTGAAGCAAAATATTCTAATATATTTGAGTTAGAATATAAATATTATAAAGCTGAAAAAAAAATAAATACTATAATCAAATCAGCAAAAAGAGATGCAAATTACTTAGAAGCTAAAATAGAACAAGGAAATCAACCAAACCTTGTTTTTAATCTACAAAAGTCAGATATTAATTTCGTTTTAATACAAGCACTAAGTAATAAAATAACAAAAACTCAAAACCAACTAAATAATACTAAAAAACGATTACGTTACTCATATAATAAAATAATATCCTTACAAGAATTGTTAGAAAATGAATCTGATAATTCAAGGTAATATAAAAAAAACAAAAATAAACAATTTATAATAAGTTATTTTAATAATAAATTATTATATATTATATAGTAATAATAGTGAAAATAGCGATATAGAAAAAGATCAAGATTTTTTATCTATAACAAGCAAAACTTCTGAACTTCAAGAAATTATAAATACAATGATTACTAAAAGCAAATTAGGCTCTAGTTTGTTTGTTAGTACAAATACTTTTCTTGAATTAATTATTAATCAACCATGTTCAGCATGTTTCAATACTGATATTACAACCAAAAAATATCAAATAATGACTTGTGAATTTTCTGTAAAGATTAATATTACTTGTAATAAATGTTCTACAACCATGTTTCATAAAAATAAAGAAGCTGGAATTGACTATTTAAAGCTTGTTGCTAGAGCAAGTTTAGTTGGAGGTGTAAATAAAGAAGAATAGACAACAATATTATGTGCATGTAGTATTACACAACAAAGTGAAAAAAAGCAATACTTTCAAAAACAAGAAAGTTTTTTTTAAAAAATTCAAGAAAGTGCTGAAAATAGTGTGAATTTTGCTTTACATGCTACATGTAAAGAAATTCAAGCACAAATAAACATATGTTAGAAGTTAGTTTTGATAATTCAGAGTCATATATGAGAAGTATCACAAGCTAGTAGTGAATTTATCTATAATGGAAATATTGAAGGTTAGTGTCAAATTAATTATATTAACCAATAAATATTTTTTTTTGAATTTAAGTGATCCTGCTTCTATTTATTTTATGAACTTACTATACGATTATTACATAAGTAACCACCAACATAGTGTAATGCTCTATTCTAATAGAAACTCGCCAAGCGTACTAAGTACTGCCCAATACGACTTGCTAAAACAACTATTAGTCTCACAAAGGGATCCAAAACTCACTTTGGATTTTGTATTGACAAAGAATACTCCCTCAATCATTTGACCAGATGTTGTATATCGCGTCAAAATCTCTTTTTTCCCTTCTAATTCTTCCTTCTTCTCAAGAGGCACGAGACAAAAAAGGGAAATTTTCAAACAAACAGTAATGAAAA